AATGGAGTGTAGGTGATAGGAGATGAGAACATAAGGAATAGAAAGGGTGGAGTTGGAACTGGGATGGAATGGGAAAGCAATGAAAGAGATACCATTATGGAGGAAGAAACCATGGGGATAGAGAGAAACCCGGTGCTAGGGAATTTGACAGGAATTCTCAAGGATGACCCCAGGTTGGACTACAAGAAGTAGTGGAAAGGGTACCTGAACTGAACTGGCTTACCCCAGTGATCAGATCAGTGAATAGCCTAACTGTCATCACAGAGTTTTTCTCCAGTGACTGATAGAAGCAGATGCAAAGATCCACAGCCAAACACTAGGCAGAGCTCCAGTCTAGTCAAAGAGAGAGATGAGGGATTCTATGAACAAGTGCATCAGGATCATGACGGGGAAACCTATAGAGAAGACAAAACCAAACTAGTGAAAACTCATGAAATTTGGATCAACAATTGTGGAGACTTCATGGGACTGGACTAGGCCCTCTGCATGGGGAGATAGTTATGTAGCTTGATCTGCTTGTGAGGGCCCCTGATGTTATGATCAGCATTCATCCCTGGTACATGAGCAGTCTTTTTGGAGCAAACTACCTTGTGCAGCCTTGAGGCAGGGGAGGAGCTTGGACCTGCCTCTACTGAATGTGTCTTCCCATGGGGGGCCTTGCCTTCTTGTGGGTGAGAATGTGGGGTGGGTTAGGAGGGAGAGGCTGGGGAGAAGGAGTAGGGAAGATGAGGATCTTTGATTGGTGTGTAAAATGAATGAAATATTTTCTTAATTAGAAAAAAGAAAAAAATGACTATGAAGTGACAAAGGGAGCTTCAGAATGATGATATTTGGGCAAGTCTCCAGTCTAATCTTCTCTGTCATCTCAGTCCCAGGGCAGCTTCCAGCTCTTCCAGGGTTTCTGACACATTCAGGATATGGGTTGTAACACTGTGTCTCTCCCACAATAATAGACAGCAGAGTCCTCAGATGTCAGGCTGCTAAGCTCCATGTAGGCTGTGCTGGAGGATGTGTCTGCAGTCAGTTTGGCCTTGCCCTTGAACTTCTGATTGTAGTCAGTACCACCATTTCCAGGATAAATATTTCCAATAAACTCCAGGCCCTGTCCAAGCCTCTGCTTCACCCAGTGCATCAAGTAGTTAGTGAAGGTGTAGCCTGAAGCCTTGCAGGACAACTTCACTGAGGAACCAGGTTTCTTCAGCTCAGGACCAGACTGCTGCAGCTGGACCTGGGAGTGGACACCTGTGGAGAGAAAGGAAGAGTGGATGTCATTGTCACCTCAGTCCCTGTTCCTTCTTCAGGTTTGGAACTGGAAAGCCCCTTACCTGTAGTTACTGACAGGAGGAAGAGGATGATCCAGCTCCATCCCATGGTGAGGACCTGTATGCTCAGTGACTGTGGAGAGGACACTGGTCATAAGTTGGTGTTTGGTGTGGACATCTCTGTCTTTACCACTATAGACTCACATGATTTGCATATTAATGACACAGGATACTTCATATATAAGGACCTAGTCTAGATGGAGAAGTTGGCAGAATAAACCTGGGTCAGGCAGCAGGATGCTGAGATCCAAATCCTCATCCTGTCTGAGGAAGTATCTTTCCCCAAGACCTGTGCAGACCCTGTTTGTATAACTTCAAGGCCTGATCTCTCAATTAAAAAAAATAGAATTCCAACCTGAGACATTTGGTTTACTTTGGGCCAAAATTGATTTTCAAGTGGTGATTGTGATGAGGATAATAGTGTCTGTAAATTCTAAAACTCCTAAATTAGGAGCATTTGTAATCTTCTTTCATATGCAACCTTTTAATATTTGCTTTTCTAGCAGGTTGCAGGTGTGTAATTCCTGGATTTGGTTTTAAATCCTTTCTTGTTTATTTGTTAACATTCAATATAGAGATGAAAAGGTTATGGAGTTGAGTGGTTGGGAGGTGGGGAGGTAGCAAAGATTAGGGTGGAGTTGTACAGGAAAACCATGGCTAGACTATACTGAATAAAAATGTTTTTCACAAAATCAAAAATAAATAAATAAATCTTAATAAAATAAATGAGAAAAAAATAAATCTGTGCACTGTTGAAAAAAGAATTTTTACTATGTTTGAACATGGAGACTTCACCTATCAACTGCAGCAGGTGTTCAGCTAACAGACTTTAGGAAGGAAAGGAGTCCACAGAGGCTGTGGAGTCCCCTCAATGCCTCATCTCATTTCGTCCTATTGATTATTGGTTCAAGTGTGCCCCCTGCTGGTCATGACCTCGTCTGCATGTTGGTATGGCTTATTTTATTCAGTTTTTGTTTTTGTTTTTGTTTTGTTTTGTTTTTAACAAAGAAAACTGAAGTGTTTATTTCGTTATTCTTTACCAATAAAAAATCAGAATTCAGATGTCTGTGTAATAACCTGAAAGATCAGAGAAGCAGGGGAGCAGCCAACAGTAACCTCCTACCACTTCTGTTCCTCGTTCCAAAAGGGCTGAGATCCTCTCTCAGCCTCACCTTATTACTTCCTGTTTCGTATCTGTCCATGGTGCTCCAAACTTCTATGGTTAATTTTGGTCAGCTACTGGCTACCCCTACCTTCTGACTCAAAGCAGGCTTTATTTTCACAATTTAATCAAAATATCACAAAGCTGTGCAAAAAAATGTAGTAGGCATGACAATAATAGAAAAAGCAGCTTGATTTGACACCCTCCCTTCCTTCTATAGTATTGAAAACTAAAACTATCTCCTTGTACATGCTAAGCAAGCACCCCACCACTGAGCTGTATCTGCACCTTATGCCTTCACTTTAAACCAATTAGAGGCTAGGTATAGTATCATATACCTGTAACCCCAGCAGGTCGAGACAGGAGGACACTAGTTCAAAGTCTACATGACCTATTGACTTTGAAGACTACATTAAATTCACCCACTTTCTCTCTATATGTATGTATATCTAGGATGATGCTGGCTGCAGAGCCTGATTCCCTGAGTTGTAGTCTCAGAACCCTAGCACTGGGGAAGTGGAGGCAGAAGCATCAGAAGTCAAAGGTCATCCTTGACTTTACAGTGAGGCTTCATCAGCAGGAGTCTTCCTCTCACGTCTTTTCTTTGATTCTGTCTTCATTCCTTGTGAAAACTCCCTCCTCAGTGTATGGCCTCTGCTCATGCTTATATCACACATTCTCCTTTTAACAAATTAAACATAAATGAAACTCTTCATTCCAAGCATCAGCCTGTCAATCCCAGGAAATGCTTGTGATTTGTTCCATTCTGACTATATACCATTCCCCGAACCAATCACGTTCCAGGGAGGTTAGCTATTATTGGCCAGTCATATTCATAACTATGCTCTTCTAGGAAGGAATATAGGATTTATGACTATCAATCTAGAGATGGAATATATACCAGCCAAATATAAATTCATACATCACACCACAAACTAATCGTTTGGCTTCTTTATAACCACACGTTGACTTCTTCCATAGCTTTGATTTTAAGAATGACTCTACTCAATAATTATCCCATTTCCTATTGAAAACAGACTCATATTCCACCTGGAGACAGCCATGTGGGAACCATGAGAGACAATTCCAACCCAGGGCTCTCTGGATGTGGTTCTTCATGGTCTGTGATCATTATACTGAAGTTTATCTGACTCTCTTGAAGAGTAATGTATGCCTGCAACTTCAGTGCTCAGATAACTCGATTACAAAGAAAAGGCCTTTTATTTTTCTGGAAATACTGAACATGTGTCCGAGATTGATTATAAATTGTGCTTTTTCTGTTATTAATATTTCTCACAATGTAAGGGTCTTCTGTAAATGTCTTCCATGTTGGCAGATGGATCCAGCTCCAGCACTATACACTGGTATTATAGAGTCATTAGAAAAAATTGTAGCATGACAAATCACTGCGCCAAGAAAAAATAGGCATATTACTTTTGCCTAGACCCAAGAAATTATGGAGTTGACCTGGTCTAGCTGCGTTGTAAGGCATGTCAGATGTTTCCAGGTTAGAGTCCTTGGTTTCTGGAACACTGTGCACCTTTCAGCTCCTGAGAAATTGAGGCATTCCCTCTGTCAGTGAAGCTTTCAAGTTACCTCTGTTTCTCTACGTTTCTTAGAAGTCTTCAAAGCATATAGAAGATTGAAAGGGCAATTGGTCTTAGACGTTCATCTTTTATACCCTCTAAACTTGCAAATGTCATTGTATCCTGGAATATACCATTGTATTCATTCTGGCAACTGCCATTATACTCTCATTTGGATAAGAGTAGAGCAAGTCCAATTGCTTGCAATAAAATTGTCACATGTCAGTGTTGATGAGACCCCTCTATCATGGCCTGGTTAAAATTCAGTTATCACTGACCATAATCAGGCCAACTTGACTTGGTAACTAAATGTTAGCATCTTAAAAGGTTTGTATCAATTGGACTTATATCTTTTTTTTTTTTTTTTTGGTTTTTCGAGACAGGGTTTCTCTGCGTAGCTTTGCGCCTTTCCTGGAGCTCACTTGGTAGCCCAGGCTGGCCTCGAACTCACAGAGATCCGCCTGGCTCTGCCTCCCAAGTGCTGGGATTAAAGGCGTGCGCCACCACCGCCCGGCCTGGACTTATATCTTTATTAAAGACTTTTTTGCCCAAATGCCAGCAGAACAAGCTCTTTTCACATTTATTAAATATTAAACATACATTTATCTCTTTCCTTCAACAGACATAGGAGGTATTCAGAAGTTAATCCTCAAACACCTGGTGGACACAGTGTGCTCAATCTGCAATTTCACTGTGGTCATCACAAGTCACTGACAGCAATGTGGGCTGATGCTCACGCTTGTGTTAAATAACAGACAGTGCATCCCTTGGTTTTCACCTTCCTACTCTACTATTTCGTGAGTTGTGTTTGTTATGATCTCACTAATGTAACACTCTAAAATCCATTTGTTCTCCCAAAATTCTTCACATATATGTGATCATGATAATAGTGTCCAAAGAAGACTTAGCCTTGGACCAGTAGATTCTTTTTTCCTTGAACATGTGCTAAAATTGTTGACCATTAACAATGAACCCAAACCAAATAGCACTTCTCCTTGTAATGCTTCTCTAAACCACAGGTAAACATTCCAGCTTTCCTTCCTTCACTATCAACAGACATATCACAGTAAGCATCTGGCCAATGTTAACAAGAAAACACCAGCAAAGAGCAGAAAACTGTGATGAGGATCTTTGTTGGCAATGGGAAGAGAGTTAGAACAGTATGTAGATGACATCCACTGGCATGTGCAAAATGGTCACTAAGACATTTCCACAAGCCAAAGGTACACAAAACACCTTCAAAGGAATCATTACATGGGAAATTGAGTCAGAAAGTATTCGTTGCAAGGATGGAAACCTCCAACATGCACATGCATTGTATGAAAAATGATAGTCACATGTACCCTATTAGAGACATTCAGACATTGGAAGCCTGAAACATAGACAACTTGTTTTCTCATCTATATGTGAAAAATAACATTAATTCATGAAAGAACTGGCTTCTCATCCCCATGGGAGAAAATAATGAGAATGGTTTTCAGATGATTTAGAATATCCTGAGATTTCCAACTTTGCTAATAACTATCACCAACTCTTAGACCTACAAATATTGGCTGAAAAATATGGAAAATTTTATTATCATGTTCACTCTACTGGATAGAAAGTGTCAAATGTACATCTTAAATGCTCCATAGGGAAATAACGGTATGCTTATGAAAAAGTAAACAAATAGTAACTGTCATAGCTGTCATAGACTATGACCTAGCAAAGGGTCTCTAAAGAATTGCTTGAGCAGGAAGGAGAAACCACAAAGTCTAACATATAAATAGCCATAAACCTGTTTGTGAAAAGAGCATGGGGCAGTCTTCAGTGTCCTATGATCTAAGGGATGTCTATAAATTGTGAGAAGTCTCAAGAGTTCCTAATTGTCTCTCTCTGTGTCTCATTCGACCCTGAAGTCTCCTTCTGATGTCCTTGGCAAAGTAAGGTGTGGCAGGTGGTTCAGAATTTAACAATTGGCTATTAGGGATATCCCTATTAATACTGACTCAGGATGTGAGGTTGCAATTAGAAGCAGTGTCTCCCACAAACAACACTATAAGTCCAGAATATTATAATCCTGTCAGTCTTGATTGGCCTGGTTGGATGTCCATCCAATTCTCCATCCCTGGAAATCTCATATGTGAGTCCTTGTTCCTTTATGTCTGATCTTTGGGCGATGCATAGCTGTAGTAGAGACTTCTCTTAGCAATCGGGAGGCAGCTGTCCAGTGCAGGGTCTGAGGGACTCCCACCACTATACATGCAATGCAACCTTGTTTGTGATACTATGAGAATCTCAGAGATATTGTTCAGACATAACGCCTCA